TCACTGGAACTAAGGGGCGGAGCCCAACCCCTGATAAACACCCCCCCCCCCCCCCCCCATTACAAATAAAAGTGGGAAACAATGTTGTATGTATTTATGTCAGCAGAAGCTTTTGGCGGCCATTATTTTCCCTTAGACTGGAAATCTTCATAAGCAATTATAATTTTTTACATTACAGACAATCTGTGGCTCCTGCAACCGTTTGCCAGCCGTGTCCGGTTCCTCAGTGGCCGCGCCATGAGTGATGTGACTGAGCGATTGTCAGGTAACTCACCGGAACACAGGAAGAAGATATACCGCGTGGCTTAAAACGAACCTTTACCCCCTTTCACTACAATTCACAGCAACATGCAGCTCTTCCAGCTGACATGAAATCATCTTGCATTCATTACTTAAAAAAAACCCATATTTTTATTTTACTTACAATTACTGTTTTTCCACTTCCTGGTCCTCTTAGGCATTAGTGATGTAGCCCATGTAGTGATGTAGCCTGTGCCTAAGAGCTGCATCCTGGGAAGGTCACATCACAGTACATTGCTGGGAAACTTCATCTGTAAACTTCAACATTTCACGAGATCTCTTGGAAAGGCATTTTCCCCCTGAGATGATGTGTATGGTCACATGTCCTAGTCACATGTGTCAGAGTTCCAGGAAGTAAAGGGAGATGAATTAATCTGCCCTTAGTAAAAATGGCTGAGAAGAATGGGGAGCAAAAGAAAAAAATTAGGTATACAAAGAATAAAAAGCCGGCAATTATCTAGAAGTATGTGTTTGTAGATTGTCATCACTAAACATTTCTAAAGGTGTCTTTATTGTCATCCTAAACGTAAGGATGAAATTCCCCTTTAAAGGAACCGGTCAAGATAGAAGCATGAAGCTGCCATTGTTGCAGGTCCCAGGGCTGTCATCCTTATTCTGTTTTTCTATTGTCCTGGAACAAGCATACAGCCAATGAAGTATTGAGACACCTGATATGCTTTTCCAGTGATACTGAAGGATAACAGTAAAAATAATCCGACCCTGGGACAGATTTCTATCAGGCTCTGTTGCAAGAATCTTATTTTTCTTCACTTCCTGTCTTAGAGACACAACAGGAAGTGAGGTAAGATGCCTTAGTAGACAGCTGTTATCAGAATAGGCTCCTGTATTGGAAGATTTCCCATCACCAATAATAATGGTGGATTTGAAGCATCTGTTTCAATCCTTTTGTTTCAGTTCTGAATAAACAAGGGAATATTCTTTTCTTTTTGTTGGAATCTGTGTCCTGTGGGGGAGATCACTTTCTGAGCCAGTGATGTCGGTCACCAAAGAGAGGGTGAATCTTTCCTATTGGGATGCAGCAGTAAAATCCTGAGGGGGGGAATATAAGCCGTACCTGCTTTATAAAAAAAAAATAGTTTGGAATACAAATTACGCCCTCTACAGGGATAAGCCCTGCCCCCTGTGATTCAGCTGTCAAATGCTGGCTTGCCAGTGGATAGTAGAGTTCCTAGGGGCAGGACTTAGCTAAAGCAGGGGTAGGACATCTCTACTTGGGCAGAGGTCTTGGTCCAGGATCCAAGGGATTCTATAGGGGCACAAGGGCCGTTTTTAAGACTAGCACATTAGCTTACAAGGTCTGCAAGGTAAGTCACATTAGCACTGTTGTTTCATGGGACAGGTTAAAGGTTTTAGCGTGGTCCAATAATCTTATTTATATAATATATAAAATGATACAAATATAAATCTTATTATAATATTTCTATTATTATTTCTTATTATAATATTATTATAAATTAGAATTGTTTGTATACGCATCAACATCTCTCCATTGTCTCGCTCAGGTCTCGTATCCTCCGTCTACCCCAGGAAGCCGCAGGCCGTGGAACGCCACGTTCTGCCCGTGCTGTGGTTCTTCCTGAGCAACATAACCGGCAACGGAGTGCTGCCAGGCCGCAACGGCAACTTCAAGGAGGTCGTCACCAAACTTACAAAAAACCTGCACCGAGCGATGGGCCCGAGCCTGGTGGAGTACGCCTCCGGACAGTCCCAACACGCCATTAAAATGCTGTCTGACATTCTTGGCACGACTAAATAGATATTATCCTGATCCAGGAGTAGAGCCCGCCACCTATACTGGAAGAGACAGACTTCAGGTGTCATGAGGGCGGAGCCAGCGATCTATGTAATTTAATGTAAATTCTGTACTAAAGATTAAAAGTAGATGTTTGCAAATAGAAGAACGGCTTTTTTAACTCTACACTTGGATCTTATTGTTGAATTTAGACTTGATGCATCGGACTTGATGCATCTGATAAAGAGGACCCTTCATGCAGTTTAAATGTCCTTTTGATGCTGAATACTGTCATAGTTGCCAAGATTCTATAACAATTTTCAGAGCTGCTTTTCTGCTACATTGGTACATATAAAGTATATGTGAACCCCAACTTCAAGGGTAAGTTTACCTTCTATACCATGTTTTATGTTACACCCATAGTCACGGTGTGAGATGAAACATGAATGCAGGAGAAATAGAAAAAAATTATTGGCAGTGACAGAATTTGCCAACCAAAGAGGTTACCATAAGACCGGGACCAGCATGTAATATGAAAAAAGTTTATTTAAATATAAAAAATAGAAAACCGAAATAAAAAAAATTTTCAGACCGAAACCGAAAATGTTTTTTATTTTACATTTTTCACATTTTTACAATATTTTATTTTTATTCATTTTTTATAAAGTTTTTAATTTTGTAACCACAATCATGAATGAACAGGAGGAGATGTAGATCACTTCCATTCATTCATAATTGAGGATAAAGTACACATACCATGTCTTCAATTATGTACAAACACTCAGCGATCACTGATCTCTGAGTGTCTGTACTCGCTCTCCTCTCTGACACGCTGTCACAGGAGGCTGAGCGAGCGGTGCGAGAGGAGAGCCCAGCCTCCTGTGACAGCGCTGTCGATGCCCACACACCGCTCTGCCGGACTGTGATAGGAGGCTGAGCGGTGTGGGAGGAGACACCGGCTGCTCACAGCGCTCTCCTCCTGCAGCGCTCGGCAGCCTGCCACAGTTTCTCTCCTCCCCGCTGGGACACAGAGCAGCGCCCAGCGGGGAGGAAAGAAAGCAGAGATGCGCCGATGTATCGGCAGGAAAATGGCACTTTCGGCATTATGCCAAAAATGCCATTTTCGGGCGATATGTTTCGGCGGTCGATATATCGGTGCATCCCTACTTGTTATCAATAAAAACTTTGACAACGTTGTCCGCAACCACCATTCGCTGCTCACATTCATTCAGATGGGCCCCACACATGAATTGCAACTATGAATCAAAGGACATTGATGGGAGTGTGTGGAAAAGGTTGATACACTCTTCAAACATGGAAATCCCGAGAAGACGAGCAACAGGTTCTCTGATCAAGACGATACTCGTAATGTCAAGTGCAATTTAAACATTTCATGAACGGGGCTCCTCTCCCAACAGAAGATAATGCGATGTTCAGCCATTTGTATCAATAGTTGTTGCATAAGTCAATAATGTAAATTCATTTTGTAATCCTGGTTTGAAAAAGAACGGCTTAAACTGAAAAGAGTGACAATAGAATCGGCGTCCTGAGCCGGTGCGGAACCATAAACAATCAGTCCCCAGTGAGGGATCAACACTGCAATGATGTTCAAATCAGATAAACGGCATATTCGGGGAAAGATATGAAGCTCACCTATAGTGTATGAGAGTGAGTGTTCCCAAAGAACATGGGGTGATCTTACTCACAATTGTGGTGATTCGTTCCCCGTTTGTTTGGCCGATTTAGATCTTATCGTACGATAATCGCGGGAAATCCTGCGATCGTACGATAATCGCAAGGTGTGTGGAAGGTGTGCGAATGTTTCTACTGTACGGTCGCACGACTTTTGTCTTACGAACATGTTTGAAAATCCGCCGAGAATCGTACTATTTTCGGCTGGTTTGTGGCATGCTCGTAAGATAATTGCCGCAAGCGCACACTGCCCGTTTAGCATTGCGGTCATCGGAAGCCCGCCCCTCAGGGGGGCGGGCTTGCAATTATCGCAAGTAAGATCTGCCTGTCCAAGATGGGCAGATTGTACGTTTTTTTTAATGACCTTACAACCATCGCAAGACGAAAGTCTTGCGATGGTTGTAAGGTGTATGGCCAGCTTAAAGGTGCCCATACACCTTGCACTTATCGTACGATAATCGCGGGAAATCCTGCGATCGTACGATAAGCACAAGGTGTATAGAAGGCATGCGACCTCTGCTACTGTAAGGTCGCACGACTTTTGTCTTACAAGCACGTTCGAAAACTGGCCGCCCAGCCCGTGGGTTGGGAGACGTCTGTGCAGTTGAAGGTGCAAAACAGTACAGAGTCGTGATTTTAGGACATTGGTGGAGTACCAGGGCCCGGTCGTAGCTACGACATCTGCGATCCTGGTAGTTCTGCCACTGACTCCAAGCTGTAGAGGGACTACAAATCTCAGCAATATATTACATAACAATGCAGAATACAACCACCTATACAGGACTACAAATCCCAGTAAAACAATCTATAGTAATGCAAAATAAAATCAGCTAAGGAGGACTACAAATCCCAGCAATGTCTTATACAGTAATGCAGAATAATATAAAGCTACATATACTGTTTTGCTCTGAGGTGGCGGCCTGACGTCTCCAGGGTCTCAGGTAGGCTGTGCGGGGTCTCAGGAGGGCTGTGCGGGGTCTCAGGAGGGCTGTGAGGGGTCTCAGGTGGGCTGTGTGGGGTCACAGGAGGGCTGTGCGGAGTCTCAGGAGGGCTGTGCGGAGTCTCAGGTGGACTGTGCGTGGTCTGAGGTGGACTGTGCGGGGTCTCAGGAGGGCTGTGCGGAGTCTCGCGTGGTCTGAGGTGGACTGTGCGGGGTCTCAGGAAGGCTGTGCGGAGTCTCAGGAGGGCTGTGCGGAGTCTCAGGAGGGCTGTGCGGAGTCTCAGGTGGACTGTGCAGGGTCCGAGGTAGACTGTGCGGGGTCTCAGGATGGCTGTGCGGAGTCTCAGGTGGACTGTGCGGGGTCTGAGGTGGACTGTGCAGGGTCTCAGGAGGGCTGTGCGGAGTCTCAGGTGGGCTGTGCGAGGTCTCAGGTGGGCTGTGCGAGGTCTCAGGTGGGCTGTGGGGGGTCCCACCAAAGGTCCGGAGGGTCTCGTGGGTGTCGGGTTTTCTGTAAACCGGCGCCACGGTTCACAGGAAAGCTGCCAAGATCCCCACCAAGCGCGGGACCTCAGACAACCACTTCAGTTTAAAAATTGAAAGCGGCGATATCGACATTTGGTATTGGCATCGATACCGGTATTAGTACATCTCTAGCAATAACAATAATATTATTAATAATTATTGATAATAATAGTAACAATAATAATATAAATACACAGTATTCAGGAGTTATATGAAGGATATGGTGACAGGCAGAGGACGACAGGTGGCAGTTTACATCTGGCAGGCACCACGATATTCCAGAAGCTCCTCTGTCCTTGGTCACGGAGGACGTTGGTCACTGTCTCAGGAAGGCTGTGCGGAGTCTCAGGAGGGCTGTGCGGAGTCTCAGGAGGGCTGTGCGGAGTCTCAGGTGGACTGTGCAGGGTCCGAGGTAGACTGTGCGGGGTCTCAGGATGGCTGTGCGGAGTCTCAGGTGGACTGTGCGGGGTCTGAGGTGGACTGTGCAGGGTCTCAGGAGGGCTGTGCGGAGTCTCAGGTGGGCTGTGCGAGGTCTCAGGTGGGCTGTGCGAGGTCTCAGGTGGGCTGTGGGGGGTCCCACCAAAGGTCCGGAGGGTCTCGTGGGTGTCGGGTTTTCTGTAAACCGGCGCCACGGTTCACAGGAAAGCTGCCAAGATCCCCACCAAGCGCGGGACCTCAGACAACCACTTCAGTTTAAAAATTGAAAGCGGCGATATCGACATTTGGTATTGGCATCGATACCGGTATTAGTACATCTCTAGCAATAACAATAATATTATTAATAATTATTGATAATAATAGTAACAATAATAATATAAATACACAGTATTCAGGAGTTATATGAAGGATATGGTGACAGGCAGAGGACGACAGGTGGCAGTTTACATCTGGCAGGCACCACGATATTCCAGAAGCTCCTCTGTCCTTGGTCACGGAGGACGTTGGTCACGGATCCATGACCTTGTGTCGGAATGGAAACAGTTTGTATCCTTCCCCACTTCAACCCACTTCATCAGCTGAAAGATGTTTGCAGAGGACTGAGATTAGTATTGAATTCATGCTTGTCCAGATGAAGGAACAGGTTCAGGGCTAAAAATGGCTCCATCAACGACTGCCAGGAGAGAGTTACACAATACACAGAGAGTGAGGGGACAGTGAGGAAATAGGATTCCTACCTGATGGAAAGTATAACTCAATTTTATGTTAAAGCTGAACTACAGCCTTCCCTTCAGTCTTCTGTCTGACCTCCGGCCTTCCCTTCAGTCTTATATCGGACCTCCGGCCTTCCCTTCAGTCTACTGTTTGACCTCCGGCCTCCCCTTCAGTCTTCCCTCTAACCACCGTCCTCCCCTTCAGTCTTCCCTCTGACCACCGTCCTCCCCTTCAGTCTTCTATCTGACCTCCGTCCTCCCCTTCAGTCTTCTATCTAACCACTGTCCTCCCCTTCAGTCTTCTATCTGACCTCAGTCTTCCCCTTCAGTCTTCTATCTGACCACCGTCCTCCCCTTCAGTCTTCTATCTGACCTCCGTCCTCCCCTTCAGTCTTCTATCTGACCACTGTCCTCCCCTTCAGTCTTCTATCTGACCTCCGTCCTCCCCTTCAGTCTTCCCTCTGACCACCGTCCTCCCCTTCAGTCTTCTATCTGACCTCCGTCCTCCCCTTCAGTCTTCTATCTGACCTCCGTCCTCCCCTTCAGTCTTCTATCTGACCACTGTCCTCCCCTTCAGTCTTATATCTGACCTCCATCCTTCCCCTCAGTCTTATATCTGACCTCCGGCCTTCCCTTCAGTCTTATATCTGATCTCCGGCCTTCCCTTCAGTCTTACAATTGTATCGGCTCCTCTCCTGGACTGAAATGTCTTCCTCTGATATCACTGCAC